GTTTATTTTTTCAAGATGAAAGGAAACTATATTTTCAATCTCACTAACTCAAGAAATATCAAATTCCCTGGTATTCAGAATACATGGATCAAACAAGCCATGATGGGGAATTTTAAGGAAATAAACCACTATTGAATCAAATTAAAGAAACTTTCACTAGTGGAAAAATAGGATTCTATGACGAGTTTTTATCACGGTCGTAGTCCACCCGTCATAGTATGTAGCGCGGTGGCAATTTTGTAATAAAATCATAAACTTTTTATGTCGGGTAATAGGTAACCGACATGGTAAGTGGGAAAGTTCACTTTCTATGTCGAGTAAATTTACCCGACATAGAAAGTGTATTTGATGACGGATGTTAGGGCAATCGACATAGTATCTTCTGTTTTACCCTTGTCGCAACACTCCATTTCGTCACTTCACCCATAGTAGAGCTCCCCGTTCTCTCTGTCTCTATTGCGAACGTCATCGCCTGTGTATGTTTCTCCCCACCCAGCTCTATACGTCGTGCCTTCTGTTGTTGTTGTTGCCGCTGTCGTTGGTGCCCGTCACCTGTGTACGTTTCTCCCCACCCAGCTCTGCACGTCACGCCACCTGCCACCTCTGTAGGTCTTCAAGAGGTAAGTTTTCGTGCTTGCTTTAGCCATTGTAGGTTTACAGTTTTGAATCTGGTATGTAATAATGTTGTCAAGAGATGGAAAGATCACGGGTGCCTTTAGCTAATTTAGAGACATATTGTAAGTAGTTTAGTCATTTGAATGTGTTTCTGTAGGCATTCTTTCTTGATTTTGATTTTGAAAATTAGATTTGTATTATAATGTAGTTATTTCATTTTAAGTGAAAACTATCATTGCTTATGCTCACCCTAATGTGAGACAATACGGTGAGCCTTGATTGGAGTCAGTAATGAAATGATCCATTGTAGGACAGAACTTCCTATTGAAAGATTAAAATATCCAATCACGTGACATCACAATTTCAGTAAAACATGTTGGATGTTATCATCCTCAAACTATACTTATATGTTGTGTTATGTCACATAAGGTAACAATGGATCGGAGTTGGATCAATTATAGACGAATAACAAATGAATATGAGAGTGGAGTAGAACAATTCCTTGAATTTGCTAAGATGAATGTTCCGGATAATGATGGAAGATTATATTGCCCGTGTGTTAACTGCTTGAATGAGCGAAGATTACCGACTGAAGTTATTCGGGAACATGTTCTTTGTGATGGTTTCCTAAAGAGTTACATAAAGTGGACATGGCATGGTGAATTATTAAACATGCCACGTGTAGAAGACAAAGAAGAAGTTGATCTAGAGATGGATGATCAGCTGGAGGAAATGATTCGTGAGCTTGGACAAGATGCCTTCCAACATACACATGTGTACAAGAAGTTGTCCAATGATGCAAAAAAACCTTTATATACAAATTGTACTAAGTTCACACGATTGTCGGTGGTACTAAAATTGTTCAATGTGAAGGCAAAGAATGGGTAAACTGATAAAAGTTTCACAGAATTGCTTGAGTTGTTGAGTGACATGCTCCTTAAAGGTAACACATTGCCAACCCGCAATTATGATGCTAAGAAGATATTGTGTCCAATGGGTATGGAGTACCCAAAAATTCATGCATGTCCGAATGATTGTGTGTTGTACAGGAAATAATTTGAGAACTTTCACGAATGTCCACAATGCGGGGAATCACGATACAAGAAGAAGGATGGTGATTCTGACAATGATGTAATGAAGGGTACCCCGGCAAAAGTGTTATGGTATCTTCTCATTGTTCCAAGGTTGAAAAGATTATTCACTAATGGAAATGATGCAAAGCTCACTAGATGGCATGCAGATAGTTGTATTAAAGATGGTCAGTTGAGGCATCCGGCAGATGGATTGCAATGGAAAATAATTGATTCCATCTTCCAGAATTTTGGTAATGATCCAAGAAACATTAGGTTTGGACTTGCTACAGATGGAATGAATCCATATGGAAATTTAAGCAGTAAACATAGTTCATGGCCTGTGGTGTTAGTTATTTACAACTTACCTCCGTGGTTGTGTATGAAACGTAAGTACTTGATGCTATATTTAATGATCTCGGGTCCCAGACAACCTGGAAATGACATTAATGTTTTTTTAAGCCCATTGGTTGAAGAGTTGAAGATGTTGTGGGAGGAAGGTGTTGATGTGTTTGATGGGTACACAGGTGACTTATTCAAGTTGCGTGCAATGTTATTTTGTACAATTAATGATTTTCCAGCATATGGTAATTTGAGTGGCTACAACACAAAGGGACATAAATCTTGCCCGATATGTGAAGAAGACACATGTCATTATCAACTACAACATGGAAGGAAAACAGTGTACCTTGGACACTGAAGATTTCTTCCTTCAAACCATTTGTATCGTAAATTAAAAAAATCATTTAACGGGTGTCAAGAAAATGATGCAGCCCCAACACCTTTAAGTGGGGAGGAAGTATATCAACGAGCGAGTGCGATTTTGTTTGAGTTTGGAAAGACGCAAAAGAAAGCCATAGGTATATGGAAGAAAATGTCAATCCTTTTTGTTCTTCCATATTGGAGGGTTCTTGATGTGAGGCATTGTATAGATGTCATGCATGTAGAGAAAAATGTGTGTGACAGTATCATCGGAACGCTCCTTAACATTCAAGGAAAAAACAAAAGATGGTGTCAATGCTTGTTTGGACATGGTTGAAATGGGTATAAGAGAACAATTAGCTCCTCAACCTCATGGTAACCGAACATACTTGCCTCCAGCATGTCACACACTGTCTAAAAAAGAGAAGAGAAGTTTTTGTGAGTTTTTACGAGGTGTGAAGGTTCCATTTGGTTACTCTTCCAATGTGAAGAGACTTGTATCTATGAAAGATCTAAAATTGCTTGGGTTAAAATCTCATGATTGTCATGTATTGATGCAACAACTTCTACCTGTGACTAATCGAGGTATCTTACTAGAGAATGTTAGATATTCCTTAACTCGATTATGCTTCTTTTTTAATGCCATATGTAGTAAAGTTATGGACCCAGATGTTTTGGATCAGTTAGAGAATGAGGCTGCAGTCATATTGTGTCAATTTGAGATGTACTTTCCTCCATCATTTTTTGATATTATGGTTCACTTGATTGTTCATCTAGCCAGGACCGAGACGATCCCTTTTTTCTTACTCCAAAGGGATATTTTTTATATTCTCGCTGGTACTGATATGCTATGTGTATCAGTGTTGCAGCTTTGGGAATTGTAAGTAATTTTACATATTTTTGATATTCTCACTGGTACATTATTTTATAACTTTACTTATTTTCAATGTTGAAGGTATTTACATCATTTGTGTGTTGAGAGGAAGATTGTCTTTATCTATGGATTTGTTGACATTGTTGCCATTCAGTTCGTTGGGAATAAAGCTGAAGAGGTGCAAACATACTTAATAGAGACATTTCAAAATGGGGGCAAAGAAGTCTACTTAGTACCTTACTTGCATCAGTAAGTATACATCTTATAAATTAATGCACATTTATGTAAAACTGAAATTTTACTAATATTATTTCAACGTGCAGGGGTCATTGGCAGCTCATAATCATTGTTCCTCGGCAATTTCTTGTGATTCTCTTGTGTTCATTACACAAGAAACCAAATGATTTGGATATTAGAAAGCACATAGACACGTAAGTTTGGTTTTTTTAATTGTTGTATCATATGTGCACTTACACCAAAATTATTTGTCCTTTTGTAGAGCTTTGGAAGCTCACCTAATGTTGCAAGGCCTTCCATCTCATGCTAGAAAGAAGTTGACGTATATTGCACCAAAGGTGATCAAACATTCCTCTTATTGTTGTTCAATTTGTCATTTAAAGTTAATCTGACATGTATTTAACTTGTAGTGTCCACGCCAACTGGGAAGCCATGAGTGCGAGTATTATGTGATGAAGCACATGCACACCATCGTATCCAAAAATATTATGGACTCATGGAGGGAGGTAAATATACTATAATTAAGTCAAATATGCCAATTATGTAAATGGTTTCTAAATCTCAAATGTTTCAATATGTAGGAATTTACAGACTCATCTTCATTGAAGATTGAAGTGTTAGATGATATTAGAGAGTAGTGGGCTTCTTTTCTTTTAAGTATTCAATCTTCATAGCAAATTTGACTTGTAACAATTTTGATTGAATTGATTTAAGTTAGCAAATTTACATTCGTTTAAGTAAATGAACTGTCTGGAACTGAGGTACATATATTGATTTCAATATGTTTCATATGTACATATCTGTCTGGAACTATATATGAATTGTGCATATCTATCTGTACAAGTGTTTGGAACTGTGAATATCTGTCTGGAACTATGATGAATAGGCAAGTCTACTCGAAGAAAGGTAGGATCTGTGAAGAAAATGCAGGTTCTGTAAAAAAAATAACACTTTCTACGTTGGTTATGTCATTAACCGACGTAGAAAGTACTTTCTACGTCGGTTAATGACATAACCGACGTAGAAAGTTTAATATTTTATGTCGGTTATAAGCATAACCGACATTGATATCACATACAATCACAGTTCCTGTTAACCGATATAGATACAGGGGTTATAGAAAGTAAGACTTTCTATGTCAGTTATCAGTGTTAATCGATATAAGTAAGACTTTCTACGTCGGTTCCCTGACTAACCGACGTAGAAAGTCTTACTTTCTATGACCTCTGTATCTATGTCGCCGCTTTAACCGACGTAGAAAGCTCATTTTAATTGACGTAAAATGTCTTTTCTGCAGTAGTGTTCCAAGCTGAGATTGAATGAATTGGGTCCCCTTCCATCCAATTATTAGACATTTCCCGTTTCTTCACACAGTACAGAAATTCCCAAACTCAAACTTTTTGGTAACCAAATTTGCTTGATACAAAAATGAGTCGCTAAATGTAGTCTCTACCATTCTATACCTTGCAAAGAACCTTCTCCAAACATCGATCTTCACATCCCTAACCCTTCTTTTCTCCATCTTCCATAGCAACAATGTTTCGTATCCCTTCTGATAATATTCTCTCTATTCTCGTTCTGCACTCATAATCCTGATTCATGCAGGAGTCAATGCAATCAAAATATGCCGCATAATAGAACAATGCTTCAATGAAGCGGTTCACAAAGGACGGTGAATTATGCTTTGCTTCCAACTCAAGCACTATCATTATAGTTGGTCTGATTTTGCTTATCACCCTCATCAAGTGTTCCATGGAGTCAGAATCCGACACCATAGTCCTCAGCATATAAGGAAAATAAACAGCCACAGCTTCATTATCTTCAATTCCAAATTGCTCAACCTTGATCTTTGTGATGCTTGTGACAAAAACTACCTTATATAAAAAGGGCAAGTTAGGATTCAGCGAAACTCACTAACCTTTTACCTGTTTCTTCTAGTCTGCTCCTACCTTGAAGTCCAATGGCAGTTATCTTCAGAAGCTCAACCTGCCTTTCATCCCTCTCAGCCAGTGCTTGCATCAAAGTCGTGCATTGCACCCCACATCCAATATCAAGGTTTATGAGATGGATTCTGGTTTGAAATGCCACGTGTTCCACTATAGATTGGACCCCAGCTAACTGCATTACTTGATTGAAAGGAATTTTCTTATGGCATGTAATAGCCATGTTAGTATCCCATGTTAGCTTCTCAATCATTTCCCTTTCCTCGTATTTATCACACTTGTTCAGTGTCACTTTTCGTCCCGTTTCTCTTTTGATTCTCTCTAGAAGTGCTTGAGCGAGATGAAAGACAACTCTCTTAACGGGGCTTCCACCACTACCACCTGAAGAGTTCCAGTGAAAATGGAAAAGTAACATGCTGGCACGTTCAAATTTTTGGCACCATACCCTCTCAGCAGCTGCCAGAAGAAACTGTGCGAGTTCCACGTCTCTATTATCTTCCTCGGATAAAACTCCAAGACCAATTCCATAAGGGTGCATGGGGATGTAAATATCATCATGCCATTGTGTAGAGTGCTGAAGATAACTTGCTCCAGCCAATCTTATTATTTCTTCAGTTGATAACTTCTAAGGACTTACGCAAGTTTCCACACTATCGCTGATGTTTTGCTTCCCTAGCCTCTTGATCCTGCTTCCATAATTGCTCAGGAGCTCCAGTGATGCTAAAGCAGATGGCAGCACTTGTTTATCCTTTGGTCCCTTAGTTTCTTTAAAAGAAGACTGCTTTGGTAGCTGAACAGGTTCAAAGTTGAACTCGTCCAGCATCACATGATCAAAATTGAAACCATGTTGCTTCTTTTGATTATGATCTTCATCAGTATTTATCCGTGTTAGTGGCTCCATTGTTGAAGAGAAACTATGTTTCCTTTGGAGCACAACATTCTCTCCTTCTATAGAGCCATAACCGCCCAGGAATTCGTTGAAATTGAAAGATGTGAAAGAAAAGAACCTCTTCCCATGTAGCGTTGCAGCTGAAATCTAGGAGGATATGAAAAGGTTAACCTCGAGGCAATGAGTTTGTCTAGATAGATATGGATGTTGGTGTTTTGCAGTGATATTTCAATGTTTTCGGCAAATACTGCCGTCATCCATAATTGGTTTATCATTATTGAAACAGATGAACAGATCAATACAAACTATGGAGAATAAATGAGGTTTTTAATTCTGTAAAAGTTCCTAAGAAGTTCAGCCAGTGATGAAAAAGTTGAGGGAAATCATGGATGGCCTTTATTTTGAAGAGCACCAATTAATTGACAACCTGTACATCCAATTAATATTTAAAAGAATTAATAAAATAATAAATATTATTTATAATATCATATTATGTTGATGGCCTTTGTTTCACTTGCCTTTATTTTATAACCGTGTACATACATTCGAACCACAACTTCGTATAAAATAATATTAAATATATAATTATGTATAAAATAATATTAAATTAAATTATGATTTCTTTTTTCTCGTCTTTAGTTTCTCTTCTCTCTCTTCTCGCTCTTCACTCTGAATTTCACTTTCCTCTCTCCCAGTGCTCAGAGTGTTGGAAGTTCTCAGCGCATGAGTTCCCACAGGGTCGTTGTCCTCAAAAAATTAGTCATCGAGCAGCTATATTAGTTCGACGTTGGAGGAAGCTTCGAAAAGTTCTCACTCTGTGGTCCCGTTGTCTGCATCGCTTATCCTACTCTCTATTTTTATGTGAAGGTAAGTTCTTGTTTTCTATTATTTTAGTTAATTTGGGATAATTGTTCATGATTTTGTTTAGACCAAGTTTAGACCAATTGATGGTGGTTGGGATTACAAGCAATCCTTTGAGTAGTATCGAACTGTTTCCTTGCCATATGTTGAACTATCTCCCCTCAGATATTTTGATATGATTTTTTTGCTCTAAGAAACTGTGACATGTTTGTTGTTTGTCCTTTGGCTATTGTAATTTAATTTATTTATCCCCATGTCTGATTACTTGTATTGGATTTATATATATGATTCTGATACTGAGTTTTCAGATATAATGGTGCTTTTGGGTTTCCTGTTCTTTATTGTGTTTCTAGATTGTGGTCATGTTGCTAGTAGTTATTGTTGTGGTTTGAGTATTAGTGTTTTTTGTTGTTGTTTATTGTGTTTCTAGATTGTGCTCATGTTGCTAGTAGTTATTGTTGTGGTTTGAGTATTGGTGTTTTTTGTTGTAGAAACACTTTCTGGTGAAGATGGATAAGAAGTCATAGGGTGGTATTCTGTCATCCAATCAGAAACTGTATAATAAGTTTGCTAATATTTATAGTAATTTGTCGTAAAATTTATACCTAACCTGATTTCTAAGTGGTTGACAGTATTAAAAAAATTGATAGAGGATGTAACAAATAAAATTGACAATGTTTCATGTAAATTCCAGTTTTTTTTACCAGTACATGTATTTGCAGTTTGAAATGGAAAGATATGGAAGCATAGATGATCGATGTTCAAATGTTAAGAAAATGAATATTGTATCTATTTGTATAATATTGGATATTCTTTGTCATAATTATAATTATTTATTTTGATTTTCAGGTATACTTGCGACATGTTTGTAGGATAAATAATTTAAGTGAAGTAAATAACATTCTTACAACAGAGCAAAGAGGTCGTATTGAGTCAACACCATGTAAATGGTTGATGTCATTGGGTAGAAAGGTTAAAATTAGTAGAACATTGCTTAATGAATTAATAAGTAGATGGGTTGAAAAGAGAGGAGGGTTTAATATAAGGTCTGAGATAGTATGCTTTAGACTGTTAGATGTGTGTTTAGGTGTAGGATTTCGTGTAGTAGGCGAAAATGTCAACATTGTAGAAGCAAACATTGATTGTCATACTAGGAGACTATTTACTGGAAACATGTTACTTTGGAAATGATTTTTAATGAACTTGTTAAACGTCAAAATGATAAGGATGTCAATGACTTTTGTAGGTTGTACATACTTTTAGGTTTGTCAGAGTTTTTATACCCTAATAAAGTAGGTATCGCACATTGTGGATTTTTTAAGTTAATAGATAATATATCTTGTCTTGGAAAGTATAATTGGGGAAAAGTAGTGTATGAATATCTGGTTGGAAGTTTATGTGAAACATCAATTTATTTGAAGAAACGAAGAAATTGTTCACACTTCCATGTACTAGGATGTGTGTTTTTGTTACAGGTAAATCCTAAATTACGATATATGTTTTGTTAGAATACTTTCAATATAGTCATCTGATTTGATATTGTGCATTTTGTTTATATGAATTCAGATACGGGCTATGGAGCATGTACTTTATAATACCAAATCATGTAATGAGATAAGTCGATTTTCGAGATTTTTACAATGGACATCTGTTGTAATTGGGGAAAGCAAGATTGTAGTTGCGTTTAATCATAATAGGGTTAATTCATTAAAAATTTAGTAGAACTTGTTTGCAATATTACTTTACCATATGTCAAAATGTGATTTCAATTTGATATTGTTTGTTATTCATAGGTTATTAATGAATTTGTGCGTCAGAAATGAAGAGCTTACTCATGATATAGTGAAAGAAGCATTAGGACATACCACTGATGCATCTGAAGAATTGAAATTTTTTACTAATATGTTGTGTGGAATTATTGTTGAGAATCAATTGTTGAACGTTGTAACCAAACAACAAGAATCAACAATTGAAAAACTAGAGGAGGATGTAATACAATTACAGGAATTTATAGATGAAGCAAAACTATCAACAGAAGAGGTAAATCATCCATCATCTGGGATGTACTTTTCTCCTGTATTTGAAGGTAGTAGTATTAAGGAGATGAAACATCATACTGAATCCAAAGAAGAATCAAAGTTCCATTGTGAATTATCAAATATGTACACTCGACTTAAAAGCTCATCCAAGAAGAAGGTATAAAAGTTTTATGGTCAAAACACCGTGGACGACTAATTCAAGGAAAAGAAAAAAGGCGACATAAGTGTTGTGTAGATGAATTATTTTGTTAGGTTTTCTTGTAATTGTAATTTATATTTGATGCAGACCTTTATCATGTAATTTTTGTGGCCTGTGATAATGTTATATTGTACATTACTCTTTATCTCATAGTGATAGCATTGTATCTTCCTCCGATGTGTTGTTCGGCTGATCATGTATGTTTTTGTGCATTTAATGATATATAGTCAAGTGGTTAAGCATATGTTTATTACAATTAAGCATATAATGTGGGCTATATAAACTTAGCATATAATTAACATAAAATGTCATGTTCAGTTAAGCACATGAAGTTGAGGTGGTTAGCAGATATATGGTTAAGCCAATAGTAAAACATGACTAAATGTCTATCACAATTAACCACATAATATGAAGGAGGTAAGCATATACATTGCATATAAAAAAAACTGGTCATTGACAATTAATGATATATGTTGGAATCAATAAAATTAGCATGTGCATACATGAAACTACCATGTTTAGTTAAACACATAAACTTGAGTTGGTTAGCACATATATGGTTAATCTAGCAGTAAAAAATGACTAAATGTCCATCACAATTAACCATATAATCTAAAGGAGGTAACCATATACATTGCATATAAACAAAACTGGTCATTGACAATTAATGATATATGTTGGAGTCAATAAAATTAGCATGTGCATACATGAAACTGCCATGTTCAATTAAACAGATTAACTTGAGGTGGTTAGCACATATATGATTAATCTAGCCGTAAAAAATGACTAAATGTCCATCACAATTAACCATAAAATCTGAAGGAGGTAACCAAATATGTTGCATATAAAGAAAACCAGTCATTGACAGTTAACCATATATGTTGGACTCAATCAAGTTACCATGTTTATGCATACATGAAACTATCATGTTCACTTTTTGGGATAAGGTTCGGGTGGTCAGCACATGTATGGTTAATCCAGCATTAAAACATGACTAAAATTAGCACAATTAACCATATAATCTGAAGGAGGTAACCATATACATTGCATATAAACAAAACTGGTCATTGACAATTAATGATATATGTTGGAGTCAATAAAATTAGCATGTGCATACATGAAACTGCCATGTTCAATTAAACAGATTAACTTGAGGTGGTTAGCACATATATGATTAATCTAGCCGTAAAAAATGACTAAATGTCCATCACAATTAACCATAAAATCTGAAGGAGGTAACCAAATATGTTGCATATAAAGAAAACCAGTCATTGACAGTTAACCATATATGTTGGACTCAATCAAGTTACCATGTTTATGCATACATGAAACTATCATGTTCACTTTTTGGGATAAGGTTCGGGTGGTCAGCACATGTATGGTTAATCCAGCATTAAAACATGACTAAATTTCCATCACAGTTAACCATTATTGTTGCATACAAAGAAAACTGGTGATTAACACTTAACCCTTACTTGGGTCTCCAAATATTTGAAGAAGTTGTCGCTCGAGTGAGAATTTCTTCGCTTGAGCGAAATACCATCCGAAAATCCCCATCATTTGGAGGTGAACTCGCTCAAGCCACGGATCTCTTGCTTGAGCGATTGTTGACCGCAGACTAAAGGTGCAACAAAGTTAGCCACATAATAAAACTTGGGTCACCACATATTTCAATAACGTTTCGCTTGAGCGAGACTTTAGTAGCTCGAGCGAAACACAATCCGAGGATCCCCATCATTTGGAGGTCTCCTCGCTCAAGCGATGGATTTCTCGCTTGAGTGACAGCTGACCAAAGACTAAAGGTCCAAAGCAGTTAGCCACAAAATATAACTTGGGTTACCACATAGTTGAATCACTTGTCGCTCAAGCGAGAAACTAGTCGCTTAAGCGAAACACAACCCGAGAATCCCCAT